CCTGATGTACACTTAGAAAATTTCTTCAAAGCTCCCTTTTATGAAACTTCCTTGAAGTCCAAACTCGAGAAGAAAGAGCTCTCTCGATTTGGTCTTATGTGGAAGTGTTATGATATGGTAGCTGAGAAGGGTGTTACTTGGAACCCTCTGTGCTTACAAGAACATCTCCCAGGATATCTGAGAATGTTACTAGGTAGAAAATCCGGTAATTCTTTCTTGGTTGAGCCTTCTGGTCTAACCCGCTTGGAAAGGAACCTAAAAAAAAAAGATCTTTTTATTGTTGATCCGAATTATCAATCTCAGGTGAGTAGACTCTGAAAAATTTCCAAATCATGTCTTTTTTTTTTGAATATCCGGTACTGCTTCTTGCGCGCATGGACCCGCTCAAGTATCTCTTCGAAAAGCCGGTTGTTTCAGGCCGAATTTCTAGGTAGCAAATCTTGTTGTCAGAGTTCGATATCATTTATGTCAGCTAGAAATCGATGTTAGGACAAGCTATTGCTAATCACCTTGGACGTCACCCTTTACCATGTTACGAGCCGCCCATGATGGATTATTTTCCGGATGAAAAAGTCTTTTTTTTACACTGACATTGAGTATAGAAAATTGGATCTTTTTTTGACCATGTACTTGGATGGAGCTTTGAATTCGAAAGGGGAATGGCATTGGGATGGGGTTTCCTACGACCAAGAACATCACTGAGTATGAAGCATTCATTGCATTGCCGGACTTCGAGCTGCACTCTGCCTCGATGTCCGACACTTGAAGGTCATAGCAGATTCAAAGCTGGTGATCAGCCAAGTTCTGGGTGAATGGAAGACTAAGGACCCACGCAAGGGTCCCTTATAAAGAAATGTCAATCGAGCTCATCAAGCAATTCAAAGAAATAACTTTTACCTGAGAATGCATAACCGGTTGGCTGATTCTCTGGCTACGCTAGCATCAATCCTTCAACCCTGCAGCAAAGCATGGAGTCTTTCGTTGTGGAAAGAATGGATGCCCCAGCAACGGACACCATTTGGCGAGATCAGGAAAATTCTATATCACGGGTCCCAGAAACTCACTAATTCCAATGCGTCCTCGAAAGAAGAGCCCTATTAGATTAGAGAAGGGCGAGAAGGCAAAAAATTCGATTATGACCCCTTGCAGAAAGACCGGCCGAAGAAGAATATGAAGATGCCGGGAACCTGTGATAAAACGATATCCAAAATTATCAGAAGGAAAAGTTCATCCCAGATTTTCCCACACTTCAACAAAGGAGAGCATTGCGTGACCTCTCACGTCGCTTTGTCATGTTATAGGACGTTTTGTACAAGCGATCTTTCTACAGTGTACTTTTCAGGTGCAACACTCGAGAAGAAGGATATTTTGTCTTATAAAGTAAAGGAAGCACACTCCAGCATCTACGGTGGTCATGTCAATAGTCAAATGCTGGCCAAGAAGATATTGCGTCAAGGATATTATTGGCCAACAATGGAGAGGGACTGTTAAAATGTTGTGATAAAATGCATGAAATGCCAAATCCACGCCGATCTCGTTCGGAAACCCTCATCATCTCTCCATACGTTGAGAGCTCCGTGGCCATTTTCAATGTGGGCATTTGAGATTATTGGACCATTCACCAAGACTTTTGAAAATACAAATAGACCGGCATTCATCCTCACAGCCACCGAGTACTACACAAAATGGGCCGAAGCAAAGGGACGAAGTGACTCGACTGAAAGGAGAGGGAAGGAATAGCCCGAAAAAATACTATCATTAACAAGACGAAAGGCTTTTCGCTGAATTTGCTGCTGTTTCCGCATAACATAAGATGAATGGGAAGCTCAGTCAGCTATTCGTCTTTCCGTGACATGGCTAAGATGTTAGTATTGCGAAATTGCGAAATATCATATTCTATGTAGTAAGTTACGCTGAAAAGTCTGATTTCAAATTCAAAGTCTTATTTCTTTAGTACCGGTAAAAGGATGCTTAACTGCGAGACAAACAAGTCGAGCAGATACGAAAGTAGGACTTAGTGATCCGGCGAAAGCGGTTACCTGGTGGTAGGGCCGTCCCTAAACGGATCAAAGTGACCCCGGGGATAAAAAAAAGGCTAATACTTTATAAGAGACCACATCGATGTCGACTCATCGCATCCTGGAGGTGAACAAGCTTCCAAGGTTGGGGCCGTGAGTTGGGTTTCTTGAACTCCTAGTAAAGGCGAACAGCTATTTCAGGATTATATAAGCTATAAGCACTGAAGTGCGAAACTAACTTAAAGATAAGATTTCCCATCCGTTAGAAGTAGTGCGTAATTTTCCTCATTTTCGCACCAAAACCTACTAATTGTTCTAGGATAGATTAGGAAGGGTTTGATAATATACCACCCAATACCCAACCGCAAACGAAAATGAAGGAGCCGGTGAACTTTTTCATGTTGTGTTACCAACAATAAGGATCCACATTTAAAAATGAGTGGGCAATTGCACCCTAGAAAAAGTGGGATCCGAGCAGAAAA